TATAAAGTAAGAGGACTAATTAAGGAAAGAGGCAAAGCAGGAGGCTCCAGGCAAACACAGGCATTGGTTTGTCTCGGCTTTCGCAAATAGAAACTTGATTATGACAGGCAATAATAAACAGTTTACTTTTTGGAGGCTAACTTAATGTACAGATTTTATTTCTCTTTTAGAAAGCCTTTTGTAAGCGTGTAGGAAGCAAGTGGTTAATATTGGAGGAACTTAGGGCCAGCTTTCCTTACCAGCTGAACATGTGTCCCGATGGTACCATGCATCTAGCTGGGTATTCTGGGTAGTGTCGTTCCAGTCTATCCACTTTACAAGCTGGTGCCTTCATTGGCTTTCAAACCGATCATTGGGCTTACTGGATTTTCATACTTAACTCACCTGTTTCATGCTTTGCCCTGGCTTTGACTGATTATAGGAAGCAAGGCACAGAATGATAGATATATTTCCAAAGCTTGTGTGAGGCTTTTGAAGCAAAAATCAGTAATCTCAAAAAATAAATAAATAAAAAGTACAGATTAAAATAAAAATCCATAATCTCTTCTCTTAATGTGCTTTAGCTCAGGTTCAGATTGAAGGAGATTTCCTGGCGTGTTCTTTCTCTATACTTGAGGAACAGCCCATGGACATGCTTCTGGGACTGGACATGCTGAAGCGGCATCAGGTAGTTAAGAGCTTCACTTACCTTTTGCATTGGCATTTTGTGTGTTACACGGTTATTAGCGCATCGTCTCCCTTGGTTGTGTGTACTGTGGCTTCTCCAACCTGGAAAGGTCCTGAATTGAGGATGTCATCATGCATGGTTTGAAATTATGTATCCGTAGAAATAGAATTTCTTCTTGTGAAATCTCTCTGAATCTTTTAAATCTTGCCATCTGTTTGAGATTATAATGGGCAACTTTGTTCTCTTGTGTTATTTTTAGTTTTTGATGGGAACTCAGGTAATTTTTGACGGGCTTGCGGGATCTCAACAACACATGATGGTAATTTTTTTTTTTGAGAGGTGGGGGAGGGGCAAAGGGAGAAGGGGAGAGAGAATCTTAAGCAGACTCCATACCCAGCAAAGAGCCCGACTTAGGGCTTGATCTCACAGCTCTGAGATCATGACCTGAGCCGAAGTCAAGAGTCAAACACTTAACTGACTGAACCACCCAGGTGCCATCATGATGGTGATTTTTTTTTCTATTTTATTTTTTTATTTTTTAATTGGTATGTTAATCCCCATACATTACATCATTAGTTTTAGATGTAGTGTTCCATGATTCATTGTTTGTG